AAGAGGTGTCCGGGTTCGGACGTTCGTTTCGATTGCTCGGTGCCAAATCTCTTGTTTTACCATTATCCTCGACGACCTGAGTCGCTTGGAAACGTCTGCCAGTCTACGCCAAGCAGAGTGGGTGTCTGAGGCAGTCGCTTGACGTCGTTCCACCTACAAAAGGCCAAGAGATCCTCCTGAGGCGGCGACTGGATCACCGGCACGATCGCCGCCATGTTCCCAACGGCCGGCCTCTTCCAGTGAGGTTACCTGAGCGGGCTCATTACAACCGGTGAGCAATCTGACCACCACATTCCAGCCCTGGCAATACCACGAGCCTGGTCATTTATCAAGACCGGGTATACCACCGCCTTTACTGCCCTCGGCTGTGTGGCTAGGCTTGCCGGGTTTTCGCGTAATCGGGTCCGTGCTCGCTCTCATCGCAAGCCAATCTTTGCGGTGTGCTCATAAACAAACAGTGGCTCACGTTTCCAAGAACAAAATGATAAAGTAGGGGAGGATCTTCGGACAGCAACCTCCAAGTTTCATGGCCTCCTCCCAAGTGCCTCTCGCCGGCCTCGCCTACTGACTTCGACTGCGTCGTTGCGACTTCAAGTCGCCATAGTGCGCCGCTTGATTGAGCTTCATTGTGCGCGTGGTGGGCCTGTTTACCATGCCTCCCACTAACTGCTCAAAGTGCCACGAGCTTGTAACGCTTGATGGCAGATACCTGACCTGCGCGAGTTGCTACCACCTTGGCAAGTCATGCGCCGGTGTTTCTGCGAGCACATTTAAGTCGATGAGTGAAGCGAAGCGAGGGCAGTGGTCCTGTCAACTATGCCGCGCCTCTGTCAGTGAGTCGGTTGAAGAAAGCTTGGAAGCGGACTCACAGTCAGACTCCCCGTCATTCTCGGCCCAGCTAGCTGAGGTAAACAAAAAAATTGACTTACTTCTTTCCCTCAAGAGCAGCGTGGATTCGCTTGTCCAGCTTCCGGCGAAAGTCGATGAGCTACTATCGCTCAAATCCGCTGTACATACCATTGAGAAATCCGTTAATGACGTCGTCAAGTCAGTGGACTTCTTCTCCAAGCAATATGACTCCCTGCTCAAGCATGCGACTGCGAATGATGCTGTTATTAAGGAGCTGAAATCCGAGGTGGGGTCTTTGAAGTCCTCATTGTCGGTGCAGTCTGATGAGATCCAACGGCTCCGCTCTGAGCTAAATAACTCTGAGCAGTACAGTCGTCGATCGAATCTCGAGATTCATGGCCTTCCATGTAACCCTAACGAGGACCTCCCATCCATGCTAGTTGATATAGCAGAAAAAGTCGGCATCTCCGAATTCAGATCCTCGGAAGTTGATGCGGTTCACCGCTTGCCCTCTTCGCGTGGCACCATCCCCGTCGTTCTCGTTAGGTTTCGCACAGTGACTACTAGAGACCGTTGGTTGAGCTGCCGTACCTCGCTGGGTGCTCTTGCGCGCGAACGGAAGCTGCCGAGACTATTCTTCAATGAGAATCTCACTCAGACGAACAGGGAGCTCTTCTGGAAGGCCCGATCAAAAGGCAAAGAGAAGCAATATCGCTATGTTTGGGTAAGAAATGCCAACATCTACGCTAAAAAGACGGAAGGTGCCCCTCTCGTGCGCGTTAATTGCATCAGTGACCTCGAGCTCATTGTCTAGTTCTTATGGCCTTCACATTTTCTGACTGCCAAGATCTCACTTCCATTTCGTGTCACTTTGACTCCACAGTTAGTGGATTTACTCTTTTTCACACTAATATTCGTACTGTTAGGAAGTATTGGGACCAATTTTGCATTGTCACCAATTCTATGAAAGATCTCGCTGACGTTTGGGTTTTAACTGAGGTTAATGTGCCATCTACATCTGTTGATCATTTTTCCCTTCCTGGATATCGAGAATTTTTTCATACCCGTTCGGGTAGGACAGGTGGAGGTATCGCAATATTCGTCAAAGAATCATGGGTTACAGAACTTTTGACTGTTACATTTGTTCACGCAGAGTGTATCGCCTTAAAAATTTCCAACTCATTATACTCGGTTACATTACTTGCCGTCTATCGCCCTCCATCTGCTAGTGTTACGTCTTTCTTAGAAGAACTGAGATCAAATCTGGCTGAATTCAGTATCGCAGAACAGTTTTGCGTACTCGGCGACATAAACATTGACACTCTAAAACCTGCAAAGACAACCGTGTGTGACTACCTCAATATTCTTTCAGAATTCGGTCTTGACTGTACTATACAGGCTCCTACCAGAGAAGAATTTTTTAATGGGCGTTTTGTTTCTGCCTGTCTTGACCCCATCAATGTACGGGCCTACGGACTTATAGTTAAATCTGCTGTAATTTCGCAAAAACTTGCCGATCACTACTTCACCGCGGTTCAGTTAATTTCAAATACCCCTTCTAAATACGTTGGCCTTGAAACACGACAAATAGAAGTTATCGATCGACACTTATTCGATAAACTAATTTCTGGTTATGAGTGGGACATCTTAATGCGATCTTTCAGTCAAGAGGAGCTTTACTCTAAATTCATACACGTATGGCAAAAGTTTACAGGGCTCAGTAAAAAAGTTGTTACCTTAAAAAAGCGTCGCGCGGAACACTTGTGGTTGAGCAATGACATAATCGCCGCAATTAGGTACAAAGAGCTCTTGTGGATGCGTTGCCGGCGCTCTCCCGATAACGTGGATCTTCGAATCAAGTTCAAAAGTGAACGAAACCGGGTTACCGCACTCATTCGCTCAGCCAGGCGAAACTATGTTAAACAGAAGCTGGTTGGCGCGCGTTCCGATTCCCGCGTCACCTGGTCTGTCGTTAACGAACTGCGAGCTGAACACAAAGCGAAACACTCTGTCGATGAGACGATTACAAAGTATTTTCCTGGTAACCAGCATTCCACGGCTAATGCATTTAATATTCATTTCGGAAATACTTCAAGTGTCTCACGAGACAGTGACTACTGTCGCTCTGCGGTAACTTCGAAAAACGCTTCATCTGCCTTTCTACCTGAAATAACTGAGGAAGGACTATATAGTATGCTCTGTAGTTTCAAGCCTGGCTTATCTCCCGGTATTGATAATATGCGGATGGCTGATTTGCGTAGAAATTATAAGTCACTGAAGAGTCTAATTTTGAATATATTAAACGGTATTATAACATCCGGTAATATTCCTAACGATCTTAAAACAGCAATCGTCAGGCCCTTATATAAAAATGGAGACCATGGTAGAGTTGACAGTTATCGTCCCATCTCCATCCTGCCTTCATTGGCGAAGCTCTTAGAAAAACACGTTTTCTTGGTAATGACAGCTTTTTTAGATAAATATGATTTACTGTCGCCACAGCAGTACGGATTTATTGCGGGAAAGGGCACACAAGCATTGCTCGAAGATTTTTCCGACTTTCTTCATAGTGCATTCGAACACAACCTTTTCACATGTGCGCTTTTTCTGGACGTGTCTAAGGCTTTCGACTCGGTGTCCCATAAAGTTCTTTTAAGTAAACTATACAGTCTTGGTTTCAGAGGCCCCTTTTATGCATTGCTCGAGAATTTTTTGTTAAATCGCGCGCAGCTCGTCCTCATATGTAACATTCATAGCGCAAAAATGCCCCTTAGGGCTGGCGTTCCTCAGGGCTCCATATTATCACCTCTTTTGTTTAACATTTATGTCAACGACCTTCCGCAGGCGATAAAGTACTGTAAAGTGTTCCAATACGCCGATGACACACTTTTGTTGTCCAGACATATGCGTTATCGTGAGGCTGTTGATTTGCTCCAATTAGATGTATTACGGGTGATGGACTGGCTTTCGGAGAATGTCATTCGGATCAATGCTAAAAAAACGCAGCTGATATGCTTTCGTAGTCCGCTAAAATCGATTCTCTTAGACAAACCCCTGTTTTTGCACGCGTCAAACTGTGTATCCTGCAAGTGTGTGCCGATCGACTATGTCAACACCACAAAATATTTAGGAATTCACTTTGATTGTGATCTATCGTGGAACTCTCACCTTTCCTACATTTTTAACAAGCTACGAGCCGTCTCCTGCACCCTCTACAACCTGCGCATATTTCTTCCGATGTCAACGAGAAAACTACTGGTGCATGGGCTCGTGTATAGCTTACTTCGGTATGGGATAACTGTTTTCGGACAATGTACGGACCAATTAGACTCTAGAGTGAACTCTTTACTTAGAGGCATTTTGCGAAGTGTAGCATATGGCTCGAGTCTACAATCATCTGATAACCTGTTTAATGACCTCTCTCTACCTACATTTCGAGCACTATTTTGGCAAACTGTAATACTCAGACACTACTGGGATAGCACTTTTAAAACCCCCAACAATGTATGTCGTGCCCTTCGAGATCCGACACCATTTAAACCGATGCGCATCAGTACACACTTTGGGAAATGCATCCGCCTATATTACGTACCTCACATTTTTAACAGCCTTCCCTCTGCGCTAATTGATGTCACATCTCGAGGAGGTTTGAAACGCCAACTAAACGCATTCTGTTCAGAAATGAAATGATGTATTTATGTGCCGATGCTATCTTATTTTGCTCCCTTCACTTTTCGTGAACTATGTGCATTGTGCCGTATAGTGCTCTGCCTGTACATATTCCCCTCTGTCAAGTGTTCTGGCTCTCTACTTGTACATATTCCCTTTTGTCACGTGTTCTGGCTCTCTGCTTGTACATATTCCCTTTTGTCATGCGTTCCGACTCTCGGCCTTTTCTTCTTTTGATCTAGATGTGTATTGAATTTAATATTTTAGGGACTAGTCTTACAAGCCTTTATGGCTTTGATGGTCCCGTTATTGTACGTTGATATACTTAAAGCACCAGCAATAAATTATTATTATTATTATTACTATTATTATTACTATTATTATTATTATTATTATGCCAGTACCAAGACCGACATGTTGTTCCTGGGCACTATATTCAAAATTGATTGATTGATTATTATTAAGATTAGTAAAGTACTTACTATTTTTGTGTGTTTAGATTGTAGAATGTGATTCTGTAATTGGCGGTTTTGTTTGCTCTGTCTGTGATATTTGCTGTTGCGTGGACACATCTCTTAAAAACGTAAATTTGCGTGCGAAACATCAGGAAGTACGTATTTTTCGATGTTTCTTCCAGGACCTGCAAACGTCGAAACGAAACATGTCATTATTTCTCCCATTATTAAAAGAAGACGCATGGTAGGGCCAAATGAAAAGGGCACTCACTCAGATTTAAGCATTCGTAAACTATCGACAGTAAAAATCAGGCATTGCTTACCTTATATCCAGTAACGCTCATGCACGAAGTAAGGATCAAATCGAACACCTTTATGTCTTACATTGGTTTCAACATGATTACAACGTAAATGGGGACGGGTCATTGCATTACTGACAAGCGCGTATTTGTGTGGCCGTACAACGTAAATATGTGATATAAAAAAAAATTCTGCCTGGACGCAGCGAATCTTAAACATCTCCAGGACGCACAAGAAAGGTACGATTTTTTACGTAGTACTAAAATGTATAACCCAAAATTTAATTTGCGTTCGGCCATCCCATGTTTCTAGGCGACGACAGTCTAGACTTCTGTTTTTTTTTTCTTTTTAGGTAAGAAAGTAATATGGTAGTTCAGAAAATGCTCAGATAATGGAAGTTTTCTTTTTTTATTTTGTGCTCTTTTATTCTGCGTCTATTACAGTTGTCTTTGTTAATTATATAAGCGACCTTGTGTACAAGAAATGGTTATCGATCTTGCATGTAACGAAGGCGGGGGGGGGGGGGGGGGGTAGGGGGGGGGGGCTGCTGTTTTTTTCCGGTGACCGCTCAGCTGGCGGCACTTGCAGCAACTAATCTTGTCACTGGGCGACATGGAACGGTCTGCCGAACGCAGGAAACTGCTCGTACGTGTCGGTCCTGCTCTGGTCCGCACATCCGCGATACAAAAGATCACTCGCTTTTTCTTTTTCCTGGATCTCTTTTTATATTAATTGCGTCAGCATATATTGACCTTATGCATGGGGCCGTCTTTGGTTTGGACGGAGTGGTTTGGACCGGACTGGACTTGCTCTTGAGGCTGCCGCGCGGTTGCCGTAGTGCTCTTTCACTCCGTTCTTTCGCTCGTTACTCCCACTTTCCCTCTTACGTAATTTGGAGAAATTCAGTGGCGTACCAACTTGGCTTTGAGTGGGGGGGGGGTGCTCTTTGTAGCCCTTTGGCGCCGCCGGCCAGTGTTTGCCCTGCCCAGTGGCGGCTGTTTAAGAAAGGGGGGGGGGGGGGCGGCAAAACACATGCCTTGACCCCCCCCCCCCCCCTTCTTGAAAACTGGGGGGGGGGGGAGCGTTTCCTCGCCCCCCTACCTCCCCCGAGATGACACACCCCTGGAAAGTGTCTTCCCGCAGGTTTCCAATTAGGCGGCGCTGCTGGCATGCGCTCATCATACGATGCATTCTAAAAAAAGCCCGTACGTCTACTTTACCGCACAGTACTCAGAGAGCCAAACACCGCAACCTACGGAGGCACCTCAGCGAATGACGAAGCCGAAACAGATGTTTACACCAAAAAACGCAGTCTGAGTTGGGACATTAATAAATGCAAGCGTGACGTTTTGCTTTGCTTAATGTCACAGCTCAGACTGTGTTTTTTGGTCTAAACATATGTTTCGGCATCGTCATTTCCAGAGCTGCCTCCGTAAGTTGCGGTGATTGTCCCTAGGAGGTGTTGTGGGGGAAAGTAGACGCACGGGATTTTTTTAGAGTGTGGCTCAGGGACGTCAAATCGTTTCCATTCCTCGGTAGGCACTACGTACGCGACAACGCAAGAGCCAGGGGCAGCGACGACGCCGGTTACTCCAAACTGCCTGCACCCGGGAGGAAAGATTGGCTCTCTGAACACAGCCGTGTCCTGACTCTTGCGAGGTTGGAAATTCCATCCTTCTCTAAGTCGAAACCTTTGAGCAAGATGCTAAGTCATGTTGTCGAAAATCAGCAACAATTTCGGCGTCATTTAACCTTGTTTTTTCGTAATGATTGTTTTTATTTTTAATTTCAATCACTATACATTTTTGGCGTTTTAAAAGAGCGTGGGAGCAGCTCCCGGCTTTGAACGCTAGCCCATAGCGCTTGCAGGACGCCCCACGTAACTATATCAGTTACCGCGAATGCCGCCAGTATTGCAGCGGTGCGAAAAAACTTCACCCTCCCGCGTTTTAGACAAGCCAGATTAACACTATATCTGTCATACACTCCACAAAATCCAATGCGTGTACTTTCCCGCAAAGCACTTGGTAAAGTCAATCGCCGCATTCTAGAAAGGCGCTTGGCGAATGACGAGGAAGATATGTCTGGGCGTACAAGAACCGTCTGCTCCATGAGACTAAAAGCTTAATTGCACGATGCATCTTTTTATCGCGCCACGGTTTAGAGAAAACCGAGATTTCGCAAAGTCGGCCTTTTTACACGGGGAGTTTGACGGGTGATTGACAGGCCTTGGTGAGGTTCTAAGAATATATTGCTCCAGAAGCGTGGTGCGCACGCATCTTATCTCGCAGTTGCACCATTTTTCGGTCGCGTTAACACGGTTCATCTGTTTCCCGAAACCTAGTTTCGCGACACATGATTCGCCAACAAGATGCATCGTGTGAATAGACCTTAAAACAGACACTACACTGCAGATTTTTTTTTATCAAGAGATTTTGTAAGTTTTGACATTCGCCAATCGTTTTCCGCATATTGCATTGATTTTCTCTACCAAAAGCTTTGCAGGAACGTAGATGCACCATATTTCTTAACGTTGAATGTCTTCTGAAATCAAGCATTATATTTGCCACTTTATTTGATTCTTCATCGTCTAGGGGACATCATTGAAGTGGGGTTTCGGAATACAATACAGTTTTTCACACACAAAACATAATTTGAAAGCACAGTTTTTGTTTTTTCGAAAGTATATCTTACATACAGAAATGATGTGAACGAGACCTAAATAAGAAGACATATTATAACTCTGAAGAAGTTAGAAATCTAACAAAAAGGTAGAAAACGCTGAATTTAAAGTGCCTTTGATGATGTATTCTGGTAGAGAATTCCAGTCATGAATCGATCTTAGAAAGAAGTAGCTCTTGTACAACGTATTGGACGCTGTTGTAAGTTAGCAAGCTGTCCAATTTCGTGTTCCTTTTTGACGTAGTTTGAGAAACATTGTCGTTTAAGTATCAATAATTGTATCAGCGGAATGTTTGAACACGTTCGTTCTGCACAGCTACTCTTAACACTTTTTTGAGCGGTCTCGACTGACGGGATATAAAGTGGGACGCAGCATGTATTTGTCTTTGTCCCTATCATACGCCGTGTAAATAGCTCCTATTAACAAGCTGGACAAACCCGAGAAACCAAATGGATAATTTTCTCTACAAAAGGCACCGAACTGCCTGTCAATCTCTCAACTTAGCGGGACGACGTGATTCCTTTGTAGGACTCAGGATTGGTACGGTCAGGCTGTACGCAACGTTCGCAATAAATTGCAGGTTCGGGGAGATACAGCACACTACACCACTGGCATCATCCATTCACTACTTCTCATGGAAGATCACCAGATGGGTTGTTTCGTGTGCGCAGTATACGGGAAACAAGCCTATAGAGAACGATATGCCAGATGGGGTGGTTATGTTGCAACAATCATAAAAATTACAAACACGCTTTTGTCAAGTGCTTACTTATCCCTTGAAAAAGAAGTAGTTTGTGGTTTGAACGAATGACGTGGACCAGGGAAAAAAGGTTTCTTTTTATATCGAGGATGGAGCGAAAAGGCGGTCTTGAATAACACTGCCACAATATATTTTCCAATGTAAATTCCCCTTTTAGTCAATCTTACTATTTCCTGTGAAACTTAGCCGTCGGATCAGTTTAGTCGAGTGCTCTGAAGCTGCATATCGTGAACCTGCTGGTTATGAACACAGCTACTGGAGGCAGTACTGAGTAGCGTCTGTACCCGCTATGAGATATCTTATTGGACTGGGGTAAGTTTATTGTTTTGGTGTATTTATATTTCTTCTTTTAACCCTATCTCTTTAACATGAAAGGTGTACACGATACACACTTTGTTACAAAAAAGAAACTGCAAGTATTTTAATATTTGAAACGATAAAACACGGCAGAGCGATGGGAACTTTTCTGGTTTCTGTGACGCAACCTAGACCATACATGGTATGTGTATCAGATCTTATGTTATTGTCTAGTTTCAGCCAGATGAAAAAGAGCAGTCTGTAAACCTCAATAAACTAACTTTTTTAGAAGACAAACTAGGTACATCGTGTCAGAAGTGACTCGTTCCGCAAAAAGAGCGATAAACTAAGAAGGAAGCCGAACCATGGACGTGCTCAAGCCTTCCGAGGGCCCGAACTTGAGAGGAAACGTACCGGAACAATGGCAATGGTTCAGACAACATATGGACCTGTACCTAAGGGCGACAAAGACCACCAAGCGAAGCAACGAACAAAGGGCAGCCATCTTGCTTCATGTGGCGGGACCAGATGCCATCAAAGTCTACAACACCTTTACCTTCGGACTTCAAGAAAATCAGGAGTACAATATAGTACTGAAGACGTTTGAAGAGAACTGCATGCCCCGAAAAAATAAAACATTCGAACGGTATGTTTTTTGTTTGCGAAAACAAGAAAGCGGTGATCAGGTTGAACAGTTCCTGCGAGAGCTACAACTGAAAGTGAAATCGTGCAAATTTTTCACTTTGTCGGACTCCATGGTACGAAATCAAATCGTATGTGGGGTAACAGACAAAAACTATGAGAGCGTTTGTTGCGTGAAGATGATCTGACGTTGGAAAACGCCATACAGCTCGGAAAGGCCTATAAGATTTTTCAGGCAAAAAATGAAACTCTCGGCGGTCCCCGACGTGTCAACGCGGTAGACAAAAGAAGAGAGCGGACATGCTTGAGCGGAAGGTCCAGCTGACGAGAAAAAACTTGTCCTAAGTGCGACCGCAAGCACGACCCACGGTAGTGTCCGGCATACAAGACAAAGTTCAACAAGTGCGAGGATGAAACACTTCGCTGTGTGTTCCAAAACGAAGGCGTTGGTAGATGACGTAATAGAACGGGACGACAGCGACTTCGGCGTTCTTCAAATCAGC